ACAAGTATAGTATAAACTCTTATTGTTCAATTGGAAACCACACACAAAGGAAGTTCCAATCGGATTATAGATTGTTAACATGATTACATTAGTCATCTTATTCAATTAATGCTAATACTTGTAAATTTCGTCAAGCATTCATGATTATAACTTATGTTAACAACAAATCAAGGTCCTTCCATAGCTCAGGTGTCGGTTATACCATACAATATAGGCTATGAAAGTGCCAAGCATTTGTTATACCAAGTGTTATACAACATAAATCAAGATTAGTCATTTAACAAGCAAAGTATTAAAGAGTGAACAAGATAACAAATACAAAACAAGTTAGTATTAAACATGAAAGTCCATATTAAGTTTACACTATACTTATTCTTACACCATTAGTGTAAACTTTTCACCTTAACATAATAAACTTAGCTAGACATAATGAAAGAAAGAAAAATAAATAAACAAAATAAGAACATAAATAAGATAAGAGTTAACTAAGTAAAGGAAAGGAAATGAAAAGCATAAACTTGATATTAATGAAAGCAAAGCATAAACATTACAAAAAATACAAACAGAGAAAGCAAGAGCATGATGTTGATCTGGAAACCAAAATGCCTAAATGCATGGCAAATGCCTCCTTTTACAGGCCAAAATTGGAAACTATTGATTTGATAACTAATTGATGAGTGGGTGGCCAACTCTTGAGTTGGTGACAATTCTTATCTTCTCTTGTCTGCCCAAAACGTCATTGATACCGTCAAAATTGGAGGCACTCAAAAACATGAAAGTTGTAGGCAATTGTCTTAGCTTTTTTGTGTAAAACATTCAGCTCATTTGGACTTCTAGAACTCCAGATATGGCCAAAATACTGAACAGTACTCGGGCTGGAGGATAGATTCGGGCTTCTTTGTTGTTGCTACAATTTGGACTTGAAAATGGCTTTTTTAGATTTGGGTTCCGTATTAAAGTTGTAGGCCTATATCTTACCTTTCCATCCATATAAAGTAGACCTAAATCTGAGATCTATAGCTGCAGATATGACCCAATTACCGAATAGTGTTCCGGTTTGGATTGCACCGACATCTCTTTTCTAAGTTTGGCCATCTCTTTATACTTTCAATTTCAGTTCTTAAATTCATCAATCAATCCTTTCATTTATGTGATAGGCCTGCATTTAAAATGAACATTTACCACAAATTAAAGGTATCTTGTATTATTATATATATTATTATAAATCATGCTTTAGTTAAGGAGTTATTGATACTTCAAGTGCAAAATGATGATATAAAACCATGATAAAAATGCACTTTTAAATACTAATCACCTTTCTAAACTCCGATTAACTTGAAATTTTACCCCAATATAAAAAATTATGTCAGGAAACTCTAGGTATATTTTCAGCTCAATCCAATAATTAGATTGAGAATTATGATTATTGATATAAAACTTGATAGTATGCATAATTATGCTAGAACCTGAATTTTCTTATTCAATTCTTTTTTGGATCGTATTACCAGTTGATCAATTAACTTGCCCAATCTAAACCGATCGACTGTTTCATATTTCAAAGGAGCATATGGCTTTTCTAATTATAGAGTTAAATATACAATTTAAATATATATCATATACAACCTATTTTAAGAGCAAAAACAACTTTAAATCATCAACCATACTTATATTTGTGTATTTAAATCTTTATATTATTGCACGAGAGTATAAATTCTCACACTCATTATACTTAAACACCTTCATACATTCTAAATGTTAGAATTAGCTATAAAGATATACACTTCAATTATATTATCTACTCTTTGAAAGAGCATTGTTACATTTCAAATAATTATAATCTTTTGAAAGTTTAAGTGAAAAACTCTTAATCATTAGTGAGGTATATCACCAAGGTGAGAAATCTTGAAGATGACATTTCTTTAAGTGGTGGAAAGGGGCTAAGTGAGGATTCATCAAGGAAATTATAATCTTTAAATTGGATTAGTAAATAATACAATACTCAAGACCGGTTTAGTGCTTAGGTATAGAAGTAGGCTTGTCGAACCACTTTAAAAACCGAGTTTGCAATTTCTATCCATATACTCTTTACTTTAACCATTTTAATTATATTATTGATTAATTGTGTTATTGTTAGTAAAACACCTAATTCACATCTCCTAGATGTTATTGTTGTCTTAATCCTAAAACAAGAGTCTAATCCTCATGTTTTTTTTATCATAGGGCAAGATTGAAAATGATAGTAAATGGAGACTCAAGTTTTGACTTATTTTTTTTCATTACACAATTTAAGTTAATCCACCATAAATTAATTATTTCACCAACCATACCCACCATAAATAATCACTAATCTTTCAACCAATTCATTTAATATAAAGAAGCATAATTAAACATGAAAAGAAAATTATGTGTATATTGTGAATTAATCCAAAACAACATACAGATAGACATTTGTGAGTCAAAAATTGACAAACAAATCACAAAATTATTTGAAAATAAATAAATCACATATAAGAGTTCAAAATTTACCTTTAAGAGTTACCATAGTTTATTGGATTGGGAAGAAAGTTATTAAAAAAATAAGAAAGGTCTCAACGCATGATCTACACATGTGAGATGACAAGCTAGGTAACAAGTGTTGTTTGCATACACCGATCAGTGGTAGACAAACGTGGACCACTCCACCTTATTCATAACTCATTTCTTTTCATTGAAGATGGGAGATCGAAAGGCAGAAAGATTATTATACTGCTGATTTTCTAGGGTGTCCATAACAACTTTAGAGGGCTAGGTTTTTTTTTTTGTGTGTGTTCTTGTCCTCTCTTTACTAGGTCTTTTATTTGACTAAATTTTTAACAAGTCTCTTTTTAATTTGTATGTCTGTCCTTCCTTCATTGTCTAATATATTTATATAGTCTAGAATTCTATGCAAAATAGGAAAAATTAAATTAAAAATTAATGTCATGCAATTATGTTTTCTTTCTTCTTGATTATGGATTCCTAATTAACTTAATGTGTAGGATCTCTTCCCCATAATTTTTTTCATTTTTTTTATTTTCTATTTATTTCTTTCTTTCTTTTTTCCATATAACTTTCTATAGTCTCTAATCACATTTGTCCTCTTTTTCTTTCTACTCTTTATTCCACTCTCTATTCTTTCTTTCCTTTTTTATTATTTATATTATCATTATAATAAAATTTAAAATAAAACCACAAATTAAGTTAGATACATAGATAAGTTAAGTGTAAAAAATAAATTTTGTCAACTGTTCAAATAAACAATGAAGCTCTTCTCTTTTTTCATTAATCTCTGATGTTGAGAGAGGATGAAAGTCATTTAAAAATGATGATATGGTGTTTGCTATGAAGCTTTATTGTTTATATAAATAGTCATACCCTTAATTATTATTATTTTCATTTCAATGTAGCCCTTTTATAGCCTAATTAGATTAAATTAGTTATCAAATCATGGTACAACTATCAAATTAAAATAAATAAGACTGAAATGTAAAACATGGTTAGTCTCAAATTCCTGAAAATTTATTTTGGTCCAAAAGTTTCTTTTTTTACATTTTGGTACCTAGATTTAAGAGATGGGAGAAAATGTCGCTTGAAAACGGCAAATGGAGAGAAAATCATTAATTTGACCACTTTTTGATAGTGTTAACAGGTTTTATTCAATATGAGGGTTCAAAAATAATGGTTTTAAACCTTGATCTTGCCTTAAAAAGGAGATTGGAGTCTACAGAGAGAGAAATTGCTCTATTTAATTATATATTTTTGAATCGTTTTAAGGTTTTTTAGGTTATAATGGTGTTTTTTTAGTTGTTTCATGGATTAAAATGAATTGAAAAATGAATTTTTAGACCAAGATGTTTTAGCCACCATAATAATATTTGAATTCTAGGTGGAGAAATGATCAAGTGCTTTTCACAAAAAAGGTGCAAACTACATGTTACATGCCCTTTAGAAAAAAAATAAATAAGCCTAAGCATGCTGGTCTACTTCAAGCCCACACATTTTGTTTTTCTAAAAGACCCAAACATGTTGAGTCACCCAACCCCCAAACCCCCAACTAGGTTTTTAATGTTTTTTGGTTTTTTTGGTGTTCTTTGTTTATTTATTTTTTAATTTATTATTCTATATTTAATTATTCTTTATAATTTATTTTAATTTGATTTTTATAAAATCATCAGCCTAAAAAAACACCTCATCATTTGATTGATATTTAATTTTACAAGTTTTTTATTTTTGTTATCAGATAATTAAATAAAAGATTATTTATAAAAAATTATTAAATCCTATAAAATTCATAATTCAGGTCACAAATTTAATGCATCACACCACAGCATCACATCACAAAATGTAAGATTCAATGCATCACAGCATCACATCACAAAATGTAAGATTCAATGCATCACACCACAGCATCACATCACAAAATGTAAGATTCAATGCATCACACCACAAAATGTAAGATTTAATGCATCACACCACAGCATCACACCACAAAATGTAAGATGATACAATATATCATTACCTCAATATTTTAAAAAAGATATTTTCATATTTTTTTTGCTAAACAATCCATGTACTTATTGATTATTTAGATTATTTTTATTCCTAACAAGTTATGAAGATCATGTCAAAATAACTTCAGTAATTTAATTTAAAATCTAAGCTAGAAAAAAAATCAAGTAAAAAGCTTTTAAATTTAAGCTAATTAACTAGATTTAATAATAATATCAAAAAATTTCCTCTGATTTTATATATATATTTAATCAAAAAGATTTAATCCCACAGGCAGGGCGGGCAATAACTTAGTGAAGCATAAATCAAGTGCCAATAAAATAAAAAATCCACGTCCATAAATCTAACGAGGACCAAAGAAATTTAAAACTATATATAGATTCACACAGCAAATACAATTCACACAGCAAATACAGGTGCATTATACCAGAATCTGAAATCTCGACATACATAAATAAAGAGTTTGATGAACATTTTATAAAGAACATGTAGACTGTCCCTCATTTTAGATTAAATTATGGCAAGCCGCAAGTGAAACTCATGGGGTGAATTAACAATCCAAACCAGCAAAATTTCAATCTCAAAGTATTTATTCATGTCAAATAAAGCATGTTCAATGGCAGTGCGGCAGAAAACTCGTTAAATTTAATGCCATTTTTATACATCCAGAAGCAGCCTGCGAGGATCCTCCACAACATCTTTGATTCGACGCAAGAAAAAAACTGCCTCTCTACCATCAATCAGCCTATGGTCGTATGTCAGAGCAATGTACATCATTGGCCTCGGAACAACAGTGCCTCCAACAACCATTGGGCGACTCACAATCGAGTGCATGCCCAAAATAGCCGACTGCCAAAAAATTATTGGTTATGAGAACCATAAAAAAAAAAAAACAGCAGTCATTTATCCAAGAAAATGCGTTGCTGTCCGTATCTGCACAATCAGGACCAGACCAGGCAGTGACCAAACAAGTAAGCCAGATCACCAAGTGACGTTCAGGCAGAGCTAGATTTCGTTTGTCTAAACTCAAATCATTGCCAGACTGGATTAGCAATGAGCACATATATTTCTAAATTTTATAGGCTTTGAGAGCCAGTCAACCCACATTGAACAAGGGAAAACCCGAGAGATTCCCTAAAAACACCTGTTAAAACAGGTTTTTCTAATTTTCTTTGCTTAAATGGTCCAGATTAAAACCACACCAGCTTAGTGGCTGGTTAACAGTTTTCGGATCCAAAAGGCCAGTCCGGTTCTGATAGTCATGACCTAGAACATCAAGTTGGAGAACAACAGGGCCCAAAAGAGATGCACACCCTCATTAATTTAAATAGACGAGTTTGCAAGCTCAGCTAACTAGTAAATTTGCGCTGTGTCTCGATCAGCAAAGACAAGTGTATGTGAAAATATATGGAAGGTCATTTAAATTTTTATCAAACTAGAATGCCAAACCTGAGGGGGGTTGATAATGGGTGTACTCAAAAGGCTTCCATAAACACCTCCATTGGATATTGTAAATGAACCTCCAGCCATTTCATCAATTGAAATAGTTCCATCATTTGCTTTCTTTGCAAGAGTGTTGATTTCCTTCTCTATCTCAGCAAAGTTCATCTTTTCAGCATTACGGATAACCGGAACTACCAGGCCCTGGAAGAAACAAGAATGAGCCATCATAGGGATGAAACATGAAGGAATCATGATAAAAAAAAGTTCACAAGATTATCATTTGAGATCCTCCATGATTAAATGAAACTTCAACAAAGTAACAGAGGTGGAAAGAAAGTGAAACCCAACAAGGAATGCAGGACTGCAGCATTTTTTTTCTCTTATTTATTCGTTCATGAAATTCCAAATGGCAGAGATAGATTAACATTGAGAAATACTAAACCAAAGAACAAATACTTTGATTTGATCACAATGTTTGAACTAGATGCTTCAAGCATACAGTTAGTCAGAGATTAAACATGGCAGAAGCTTTGTAAAGACTGGCACCTCCAGAGCAGAGAATACACGCCTCAATCAAAGCAATAACTGGTGCCCTTGGAATATTATGTCTCGTGGTCCTCAGCAACTCAGGTGCAGTATTTACTATGGAAAAGGCAGGTAGTATACAAGAAATCAAATATACTATCATATTAGCCCAAGCTCTGCAGTGGATCAATAACAATTTTAATTTTAAAGTTTTAAAAATACATATGTAAAGTATAGCAAATATTTTGAGTGCCTTGGGTCTGGCTGAGAAGCCAAATCCAATAGCCTTGCATTTGGAGGCAATACCAAACCCAATAGCATTAGGTTTGGCGCCCAGCCAGATTCAATGGCTTTGGGTCTGGCTACTGAACTGGTGGAGATTTTGAAGGGATAGAAAGCAAATAAAAGGGTCCCAAATCCTTAACTTGTCAAAGTCTCATAAGTGTCATTTCTTTCGTTTATCCTTTGCTTGTTTGCTAAATGTCCATGCTTTACTAGTCAGGTACTTGAAGATGCATGGTAATGAATGTTATTACTGTAACCTTATGAAGATTATTATCATGTATCTCTAAGTGTTCATACCCGTTAAAATACAAAAAAAAAAAACTCCACTTGAGGTTTGACATTCAGAGATGAGTCTGCTGAGGTTCAAGGCTAGGTGTGAATCCATGTGAGGGTCTTGTGCTGATTGCTCGAGTTTTTGGGTGGAAATACTTAAGTTCAAGCTCCAAACTTGGAGTTTAAGAATAATTTAGGCTAGAAGTTGTTGTCTTGTTTCTGTTCACATACAGCCTGGTTTTGATTTTTCATTGTTTTGCCTTGTCTATTTTAATAATTGGTGGAGATAGGAAGCATGCTTGTTTGTGTGTTCAGTATTTCTTTTTTTTGTTGTGGTAAAAATCTTGGGGGTAAATTAAAGTTAGCCAATGATGATGCCAAATGGGAGGTGGGCCTTTGAGAAAATTTCAATTGCTTGTTTCGTGTCATGGATTGGTGTGGTTTTAATTTGATAATCTATGCTGCAATTTTATGCAATTTTAAGTTCTTGGGATTTGGATCATGAACAAAATTTCAGGTTTGATCTTTAGTGATATTGCATGGTTTTTTAGAGTTTTCGTGATGTAACATGGGTTTTCTCAAAGGCTCAAGACGTGCGGCCATCATTGATCTCTCTGATGACAAGTTCACGCATTTATAGATTTGCTTCTCAATACAAAAATGGGGGCTTCACTTTATTTTCATGATTTTGTGAAACTTTTGGCGTATCTTCATTGGGTTTGGCTCCACAGCCAAGCTCAAGGATATTGAGTCAGGTTCCAGATCCAAGGCCATTGGGTCTACTGTAGAGCCGAACCCAATATCCTACAAATTTGAAAATATCTTAAAATATTATATTTTTTAAAATCTATTTTTTTATAACCTCAAGTGAGAAAAAACTTATCACCCAACTTTTGTACAATATACAAAACGTCTCATCAATTTATTCTTTTTACAGTATGAAAAAAAAATTAAATAAAAGAAGGAAAAAAAATAAAATAAAAATATCTTAAAAGGAAAAAATTTAAAAGGAAAGAAATTAGTTACTAGGGTATTGGGCAATGCTCTACTACGCACTCTTCATAGTGTTATTGTAGAAAAAAAATTGAAGATAGCGATGGTACAAATACATTCCGTTCTTTTAACACAACTCAAGCATTTTCACATTTGAAAAAAAAAATTGTTAATGACCCACTGCGAAGTGCGAGGCAATTTGCTAGTTATTATATTATTACGCAACGATTATTTTTTAAAACATTTTAAAAAAATATATAGTGATAACATTTTTTTTATTTTTTAAAATTTATTTTTTATATCATCACATCAAAATAATACAAAAACATCAAAAAATATTAATTTGAATTAAAAAAAATTTAAAAAAAAAATCAATTTTTTTTGAAAGCATTTTTGAAACAAAAAAATAAACATGCTTTGATAAAAAAATTCAACCCAATCTTAAATGAAATATATATATATATATATATATATATATATATATATATATATCATTACCCAACTTTTGTACAACATAAAAAAAAATCTCATCAATTCATTTCCTCTTCATCATATGAAACAAAAATAAAAGGAGATTTCAAGACGAAAAATAAAATAAAATTGAAAATATCTTAAAAAGAAGAAGGTTGAGCCAGGCCCAAGATTTCTTGGGCAGCCAGACCCAAAAACATCGAGTCTGGTTGCCAAAGCCAAAGCCAGACCCAAAAACATCGGGTCTGGTTGCCAAAGCCAGACCCAAAAACATTGGATCTGACTACTGAGCCAGACCCAATAATCTTCTCTCCATGTTCTTCATTAATCATTGTCTCTCCTTTATATGAGGCTTGTAGTCACTTTTCTTTGAAAATTCAAAGTTTTAGGGACCTACGCCACTACCAAAGGAGCATTCGTATGCATGTTGAAGTGATTTGGGCTTGGCTTCCAAGCCAAACCCAATAGCGTTGGATCTAATAGACAAACTAGACCCAGCAGCTTTTGGCATAAAAAACAAAAGAAACAATGCCCCTGGCAGTCAAACCTAGTAGCTTTTGGCATAGAAAATAGAAAAGACAATGCTCCCCAAGTGCTACAGTGTCATCCACAATATAAATATTCTATGTTTACAGTGTGGTCTACAGTGCAATAAGTCTATGTCCACAGTACATGCACAATATTTTTCCCATGCCTTTTAAAGTATAGTATAATATGTTAATGAGGCATTGATCCAATTAAAGACTTAGGTTGAGGCTATAGATGTTATGACTACCCAGGTTCAAATCGTCCCACCCCCACATATCACAAACAGAAGTCAAATATGTCATTTCTTCACCTAACAAATAATCCTTACACTGAATAACCAATAGCAAGGGAAAAATTGCATTAAGAGAGACTAGAATAAAGGGAAATTTAGATTAGATGATATTAGGCCCTAGCCACCTAATAAATTATAATTAAAACATTATTTTGATGAACTCGTCATACACATAAATGCTCCAATTCTTTAAATAAAACCATGTTTTAAAACCAGAATCAAACTATAATTGCGTCCCACAATTTAGTTGGGATAAAAAAAGCATGCACATGAAGATTCTTTTAAAAATGCAAACTCGAGAAAGATGCCTAACCAATAGACTGATTGTCAGCACCACAAAAAGCAGAAACGTATAAAGAAAGCAAGTCCAGTGCATTACCATTAGTACCAAAGGTTGCATATAAGTGTGCACAAATAGTAAGGCAGTCAATTAACGAGATAAAGACAAACCTTTGGAGTGCCAACAGCTATGCTAATGTCTATATAGTCTCTGTATATGATATCATCCCCATCAATAACTGCATTTATAATAGGCTGATTCTGGAGACCGCTGACAGCAGCCTGAGATATTGTGCAGAGGAAACAAGAAAAAGGATACCACACGTCTTAATGGTCAAGGGTATATTTCACGAATTATTTGTATCATTGCAGATAACACATTGTGTACCTTTATAAATCCTGACATAAGGCCCAATTTCACTCCATGTTTCTCAACAAAAGCATCTTTGTATTCAGAGCGAAGTTTCATCAAATTAGTCCTGCAATAAGCAGAAAATCAATGATGGGACAATAAACATGAAAAAAAGTAGGAAAAACAATTCAAGATAACGTTATTTTGTTGGATACAACTCAGGAACTGATCTACCCCTTCCAAAGCACCATTTTCAGTTTTCTTAGGTACAGAAGCTTTAATAGGGAAGGAAAACTCATGAAGTACATGGTCTATGTTGACTAAACCAAACCAATAAGATATTGACTACCAACTATTATCAAAAGGTTGGAACTTTTAGGGCTATGAGAAAAGTGCTATAAGCAATGAGTCATCAAAATCAAACTGAACTCACATATCAACTTCATTGAATGTTGTCAACATAGCAAACGTGTTCTGAGAGTCCTTCAATCGGGTTGCAACCCTTTTTCGAAGCCTTGTCATAGGAACCTGTAATCAAGGAAGCATTTCAAGCCACACTGCTTGAGACATGGAGAATAAAACACAAGGAACATTGCTCTACCACATAATGATGAACGAGAAAAGATACTTACTCTTCTTTCCTTTTCCTTGGGAGGAAGCTGGGGTTCTGTAGCAGAGCGTTTAGGAGGTGGTGGTGCTGGAGTTTTAGGCTTTACTGGGACAGGACTAGCTTCAACCTTAGGCTTTCTCTTTTCTTCATCATTCATTTCAGGAGCAGATTGCTTAGGAGCAGCTTTCTTTGATGTATTCTCAGAGGGAGCAGCATGAGCTACACCTTCACCGGACTTTGAAATAACAGCAATCTTGGTACCCGGTTCTACAGTATCCCCTTCCTTGGCTATATGCTGTTAGAAATCATGCTTGGAAGTTGAATTAAAATCCACAACCTCAATCATCAAACATCCCCAAAGGAACACAAAATTATCATTAAAAAAAAAGTTATATGTATAACCTAAAATATCATTAAAAAAACAGTATATGTATTACCTCTTTTATCACACCTGCTTCAGGACTAGCAACATCAATTGTCACCTGAACATAAATTGACATTACAAGTATTAGAAACACAACAAATTTTCTATTACATTAGACAGAAAACAAGGGTGGGAAAGCATGTTGACAACACCACCTTATCTGTCTCAATTTGAGCAATTGACTCATCAACTTCTACTCTATCACCAGGATCTGCTCTCAGAATATCGCATTCAACACAATTAGGAACTTGCAACTATATAAATGACAGAAAATGTGTTTGCAAACAGAAGAAATGAGAAATTATCACTAGTAAGACATACTCTTTAAGAATTTTGCCAGAGTGCCATCAGTGATGGATTCACCCATAAAAGGAACAACGGCATCAACCAAATCCCCTAAATCAGAACACAAAATTATCATTTATCAAGATATAGAAAAAATTTAATATACAATATCACCACGATAAGAAACAGCTGCAAGTTCCTCTTAAAAGATATAAAACTAAATTGACAGTAAACCATCCATGTCATTACATCCATGTCAACTTAACAAAGTATTTAACCATGGTGGTAAGAATCAACACTTGGTGACGAGCCAAATAGGTGCTCCAAAGGCTACCACAATCTGAACCAACATACCACATGTCTGCCAACTATGACAGAGCATCTCGATTCAAAATTTCCCATTAATTATGTTTTCCCATGATAAAACTATATGAAGAGCTTCAAACTGCATTCTTTGTATATAAGCAACATCAAAGCTAAGTGGGATAAGAGCTAGAATGCTAACATCCTAGATAAGTGATGGAAATTAACAATTATAAAATCAAAAGGATTAAGAAATCCTGTGTGAACCTAGGATCCATGCATTTCTCCTTCACCAATAGACCACAGAACAAAGCACAGACATGGAGAAGAGTGATGTGCAATACACAAATGAAGGAAATTCATAGAGTCCAGTGAACAACACACCACTGTCTGAAGAAAATGGCCTGCTCAAGATTAGCTTGCTAGCTGTGAGCTCCATGTTGGAAACACCTTCTCTGCATAACAAGGAAAAAAAAAAAAAAAACAGTGATAGAGAGAAAGCACTACAAGCAGCACATAATAAGCAACTTTAATTAGCATGAAAGTTCTTCAGCCTTTTTCAACTAATCTAAATTTTCATTAGAGAATTAGAAAGGACAGTTATCTCCAGTTTAGAAATTCAACAGTGGATGAAAGATGGAAACTGTTGTTCTACACCACAGGTTAAATTAGTTAACCCACCCCATTGAAGCGCAAGAGTATCAACAACAGGAGCATGTATTTCAACCTTTGAGATACAAAAATTACAGTAGGATTCATAAAAGTTACAGAAAAGGACATGATATAGACAATCAAATGCAAACACAATCAAACAATAACCTAAAAAAGGTTTCACTGAGTCATCTAGTTATCACTTTTACAGTCTAAATTCTGATCCTAGAAGCACTAATTCAAATAGAGTCCCTTCAATTCAAATCACGGAAATAGAATGGGTGTCACTTACCTCATGGTTCTTGAACTGATTGCCCTACCTGCAAATACCAAAAAGGAAAAACATGATAAGTGACAGATTATGACTAATATAATTATGTTTATAAAAGGAACATAATGGCGCAATCAGTATTAAATATTACCTCGTAGAGGAGCAAGGCAACTGAATTTCCGAACATGTCCAAATCCTCTGGGATGAATTAAAATCTGTTGACAGACAAGATAGGATTATTGAAATCATATTATTATAAACTATTTTCTACAGTAATAAATATATAAATAAATGAAAGCCATTAAAACCTCCTCGGAGACTCTGGAGGTAGACGAAGACACAGGTCGAATAGTTTGCAATGACTGCTTCAAGATCTGAACATCACAAATATCAGTAATGAACAAATAAATTCCATACATAAATTAGTTAATAAATAGATAGATAGAAGTAAAAATGAATTTTCTAACCGAAGAAGAAGAAGAAGACGAGCCTCCACTAGCGACTCTTCTTCTTATAACACCAAGCATCTTGTAGGATTCTTTCTATCTCTATCTGTTTTTTTTTTTAATTTATATATAAGAAAAGAAGCTGTTAATTAAAAAAAGAAAAGAAACAATCCTAATTAAGATTATTAGTAAATTTAGACCTGATCAGAGTGTTCGCCAGCGAGAGCGAGGCTCTTTGATTTTGAATCGGGAGAGAAAGGGGTGTCTATAGTGTTTTTTACGTAGGGTTTGGCTCCGGATAAAAGGAGGCCTTTGCTGCAAAGTTGAATGAAAATAAAAATCGTTGCGCCATTTCGGATTTGCTCGCGTGCTGCTTTTTATGATTATTATTATTATTATTATTATTATTATACGAGTCAAATATGTTTAATATAATAGTATGTTTTTTATCTGAAAATATATAAAAATAATATTTTATTTTATTTTTAAATAATTTATTTTTTACATCAATATATTAAATAATTTAAAAATATTAACAAAAGTAATTTTAAATATAAAAATTAAGTTTTTGACAAATGCGGTGCCAAATGGTTTTGTAATTTGGAGGGCTGTATTTGTTCCTCCATTCTTGGATGACTTTATTTACACTATGTTTATTTGATTTATGTAAGATGATTTCTAAATTTTTTTTCTTGTTTAATTACTATTATAAAAGTTGATTAAAGAAAAATAATTTTAAGTCAAAAAAATTTAATTTAGTTTTCAAAAAGTATTTTTCTTTTTATTTATGATGAAATACACTTTTTAGAATTTACAAAAATAATTTATTTTTTGTTTTTTTAAATTAATGTGGGTATCTAAACCAGCTTTCGTGCACCTCGACTAATCCTGCAAGCTCTAAATTTAATGACCATGCAAGTCTATAGTGGCCCTGAAATAATTTGTTATTTATTGATTATATTAGATTTGGTTTTCAATATTTTGATTGTTATATATTTTTTTGTTTTTAATTTTTAATTTTATCCTTTTAAATTTGATTTAATTTGGTATTTATATAAACTTTGTTTTTTATTTTTTTATTTTTTTATTAAAACTCTTTTATCTATCAAATTTAGTTCTTATTTTTTATTATTTTTTATTGTATTTAAAATAACGTATTAAATTAGAATTTTTTTCAATTTCATTATTTTTCAAGTTTTTCATCTATTAGTTTTGGTCCCTCGTTCTTTTGATTGATATTTATTTTATTTAAAATAATTTATAAAATTGAATTTTTTTTTATTTCATGCTTCTTCAGAAATTGGTATGTAATTTGTGGTTAATCATATAGGCGATAATGCCAAATATATTTTGAGATATGATTTATTGCATTGGCAGAATTTCTATATAAGAATTATTATTGACTACATTGAAGGGATTTGATGTATAATCTATTATTGATTGAAATGGTGGAAATTATGTGTAATTCATTTTAGATCATCGTGACATAAAGTAATCTCAATATATATGTGTACACGCCTGCGCATGATGAGAACTCTAAAATAATTGAAAAGTGAAATAGCTAGCAAATGAATGGATATTGTTATGGAAAAGATGTTTGACACCTTGATACCTTATTCAACAAATTTATTATGCCAAGTAATGGTAAGAAAAATTGGCCATTCAATTTTGATTGATAAAAGCTTTATTAACAAGAAAATTTTAATTTGGGAAGAAAAATTAAAAATTAGATATTTAAGAACTCTATTTAATTTTTTTAGAGTTTAATTTAATTTATTAAGGGTTAATTATAATAAAAATGAGTTTTAAATTCAATTTGAGCTTTAATTAGAATAAATTAAAGTCTATGGTTCAATCGCAGTTTTGATAAGTTAATTTGGTCAAACCAGGGTTTTAATTGCATTTGATGGGCAATTAGGGACTTAATTAAAGAAATTCAAAACTAGGAACCAAATTGTAAAAGGCAAAGACTTTAAGGATCGATATGGGTTTAATTAAAGGTCAAAATGAATAAATTGAAAGTTTGCAGATCCATTAAGAGTCAAAATGCATGAATTAATAACCAAGGACCAATCTAAAAAAAGCATTAAACTTCAAGAACTGACATGGGTTAAATTACGAGTAAAATTGCATGAAATTAAAAGTTGAAAGGCAACTATTTGTACAATTAAAACAAATTAAAATATTAGGTACTAAATTGAATTTCAGTCAAATCTTAAATTAAAAACATTAATCTCTTAGTGGTTAATGACACGTCTAAAAAATAGATGTCTTCTCCCAAGTACAGGGGTGTCGAAGTAATAAATAACCCGGCAAGACTGGGATCAAACCACAGGAAAGTTAATTGTATAAATTATAGATAACAATAATACACCAACAACAACAATAGTAACAATAATAATAAAAATAGTAGTAGTAATAATAAAGAAGAAAAAAGAAAAAGAAAAAGTTGATGAGAACTTTGAGATGGAAGATTAACATAAGAATTAAATAATGATAACAATAAATGTCAAGGTTAGAGGATCCACTAATAGTATGTCAAACAAGTATAATATAAACTCTTATTATTCAATTGGAAACCACATACAAAGAGGGTTCCAATCAGATTATCAATTGCTAACATGATTACATTAGTCATCTTATTCGATTAATGCTAATACTTGTAAATCTCATCAGACATTCATGATTATAACTTATGTTAACAACAAATCAAGTTCCTTTCATAGCTCAGGTGTCGGTTATACCACACAGTATAGGCTATGAAAGTGTCAAGCATTTGTTGTACCAAGTGTTATACAACATAAATCTAGATTAGTCATTTAACAAGTAAAGTATTAAAGAGCGAACAAGATAACAAATACAAAACATGTTAGTATCAAACATTAAAGTCTATATTGAGTTTACATTATACTTATTCCTACACCATTAGTGTAGCCTTTTCACCTTGATATAATAAACTTAGCTAAACATAATGAAAGAAAGAAAAATAAATAAACAAAATAAGAACATAAATAAGATAAAAGTTAACAAAGTAAAGGAAATGAAATGAAAGGCATAAACTTGATATTAATAAAAGCAAAATATAAGCAATACAAAAAATATAAAGAGAGAAAGCAAAAGCATGATCTTGATCTTGATCTAGAAACCAAGATGTCTAAATGCATGACAAATATCTCCTTTTATAGGCCAAAGTTGAGAACTATTGATTTGATGACTAATTGATGAGTAGGTGGCCAACTCTTGACTTGGTGACTGATTAGTACTTAAAAGTGCATTTCTATCATTGTTTTATATCATCATTTTGCACTTGAAATATCAATAACTCCTTAACTAAAGCATGTTTTATAATAATATATCTAATAATATAAGATACCTTTAATTTGTGATAAATGTCTATTTTTAATGCAGGCCTATCACATAAATGAAAGGATTGATTGATGACTTGAAGAACTTAAATTGCAAGGATAAAGAGATGGTCAAACTTAGAAAAAAGATGTCGGTGCAATCCAAACCGGAACACTGTTCGGTAATTGGGCCATATCTAGAGCTACAAATCTCAGATTTAGGTCCAATTTATATGGATGGAAAGGTAAGACATAGGCCTACAACTTTCATATGGAGCCCAAGATCTAAAAAGGCCATTATCAAGTCCAAATTGTAGCAACAACAAAGAAGCCCGAATCTGTCTTCCAGCCCGAGCACTGTTCGGTATTTTGGCCATATCTGGAGTTCTAGAAGTCCAAATGAGCTGAATGTTTTACACAAGAAAGCTGAGACAATTTCCTACAACTTTCATGTTTGCAACTGGCTCCAGTTTTGACGTTATCAATGACGTTTTGGGCAGACAAGAGAAGATAAGGATTGTCACCAAGTCAAAAGTTGTCCACCCACTTATCATCCATATGAAAGTTGTAGGCCTATGTCTTACCTTTCCATCCATATAAATTGGACCTAAATCTGAGATATATAGCTCTAGATATGACCCAATTACCGAACAGTGTTCTGGTTTGGATTGCACCGACATCTCTTTTCTAAGTTTAGCCATCTCTTTATCCTTGCAATTTAAGTTCTTCAAGTCATCAATCAATCATTTCATTTATGTGATAGGCCTGCATTAAAAATAGACATTTACCACAAATTATAGGTATCTTATATTATTAGATACATTATTATAAAACATGCTTTGGCTAAGGAGTTATTGATACTTCAAGTGCAAAATGATGATATAAAACCATGATAAAAATGCACTTTTATGTACTAATCAATAGGCCTGCATTTAAAATGAATATTTACCACAAATTAAAGGTATCTTATATTATTAGATATATTATTATAAAACATGCTTTAGTTAAGGAGTTATTGATACTTCAAGTGCAAAATGATGATATAAAACCATGATAAAAATGCACTTTTAAGTACTAATCACTACCTCTTAAAAATGCAGCTATTGACACACCTCCCATTAACCCAAGACTGCCTCCCCCATACAGTAAATGAATCTTTCTCTCAGCTAGCACTTGACCAAAATGATTTGTCGATTCTAAAAACTCCTTTTGTTTCCCGGGACTAGATCCACCGAAAACACAAATATTTCTTATATGATGACTTGAGGAACTTGTCATTTCTACATACTTCTGTATTTGTTGAATGTATGGGTTGAGTAGAAATGAAAGGAAGGAAGAGAGGATTTTATAGATGAGAAATTAGAAAGGCAATCATATCACTTATTTGTATGCCACCTAGAGTCTCACACAATCTTTCTCTCTCTCTATTTATTTATTTATTTACTTTTGAAAAAGTATGTATATGTACAGGTAGTTGTGATTATAGCTTATATCTTCCCTTGGTTTTATGTCCAAGAATGACTTAAATGCCCTCTATGGGTCGGGGATAGGCTTCCCATCCAGTTTTCTTAAAAATTGGCAAACAGGGTCTTTTTTAGTCAAATTCCCAAGACTAAGTCGATCATGTTCTTTATGAAATAGTGGCCATAAATCATGAATTGCATGATGCACATCTCCACTAGGATGCGTCTCAAGAGTCAATAGAAGATTATCTAAAGACTCCTTACTCAGGGCATCCTTAATGAATTGTATTTTATCTTCACGGTTTATAGATACCATTCCTAAAGAATGATATTGTGCATTACAAGTCCATCTAGCACATCGATGATAGACTTTCAATCGTTTTGCACGACGTTTGTTTGCAAAAGTGCTTTTACTTGTTCCAAGCATGTGTGAAATGAAGGAGTTAGAGGACTCACTTGATAATCAGACCTTTGCTTCAATCAACCAACAAATATCTTCAGGAATTCCATGATTCATTAACAATCTCAATCTTGCACATCTAGCACGATAAATTTTTA